GTCTTCAATGCCAGCCAAGTATTCTTTCTGATTGTTCTTCATGTCCATGAGCTCAATAGTCACCCACACTGGTCCCCACAACCTTGCATAATATCCTGTCACACCACAGAGCTTCTGTACAACTTCTGGTACGCCTTTGTGATCCAGCACCTTGATATTCACAAGGGTTTGCTGAGACGCAGAATCTATGACAAAGTTGCACCTTTGGCCATCCAGCTTTCCTGTCACGTAGACACTATGTGTGCTTGCAATTTTACACTTAGCTGTTGGGACTTTCACGATGGGGGTTGGTGGTCGTCCCTTAGCACCAACCACTACTGGTTTCCCGAAGCTGACTTATTGGTGGTATTCTTCTTACACTGGCTCCTCATATGTCCTTGCTCTCCACAGTTCCAACAACCAGTTGAAGTTGCCAGCATTGAGCTCTTTTGTGCCCAGGTTTATTACAGTGCCAACAAAGTCCCTCAAACTTCTCTGAAAGTTGCCCTTTTCTGCCCTTGAATCCTGACGACTGTACCAATCTTGGTACCTCTGTGCTGGACTTAATGTAGGATTCAAATTCAAGAACTCTAGCCATTGCATCCTGCATAGTAGAGGGGTGTGCTTGCTTGACTTGTATTTTCAATTGTGGACTGTCCAAGGCGTCTACAAACTGATCCCTCAGCAACAACTTGAGGAGATCGTGTGGTGCAGTTTGGTAGGCCTTGTGTGCCATACTTTCCAAGTCCTGTGCCAGCTCTTGCAAGCTCTCCACTTTGGCAAGGACTCTCGTCCTAAACCTAGCCATGTAGACTTTGGACTGATTTTGAGTTCCATACCTGAGTTCTAGTGCCGCTACCAGTGCTCTATAGTTGTTGTTGTTGTCTGCTGACAACTGTCCAAGCATTTCCAGTGTTTGTCCCTTCAAGCTCGTTGCCAGATATACTGCTTTCTGCTCCACTGTCCACCCATTCATTTCTGCCAGGAGCTCAAATTGTGCTCTATATGCTTCCCACAGTGCCTTTCCATCGAATTCTTGTGGCTTCCTTTATAATGGATCACCCTTATTGCTGACATTCATATCTGGGATGTGACTTCTAACAGGACTGAAGATGTCTGCATTGGGGTTTAGCTGCGGGGTCTGAAAGGAGCTTGGCATTGTCTGGGGCTGATTAAGTCGATGGTTAATGTATCCTTGTGTAAAAGACAATAAATCATCCTTTAATGTATTTAATTCGCTTTGAAATGTACTAAGGTTTTCCATTTGTACTTCTTGCCACTGTTGGAGACTTTCTTCCTGTTTCCTTTCTTTTTCCAGTTGCCACTGCTGTAATCTCTCTTCTTGTTTCCTTTCTCATTCTTCTTGTTTCTTTTCTTTTTCCTCCAACAACTGCTGTAATCTCTCTTCTTGTTACTTTTCTTTTTCCTCCAACAACTACTGTAATTTCTCTTCTTGTTTCTTTTCTTTTTCCTCCAACAACTGTTGTAATCTCTCTTCTTGTTTATTTTGTTGTTCGAGCTGCCACTGTTGCAGGTTTTCTTGCAACTGCTGTTGTCTCTCTTCTTGTTTATTTTCTCATTCTTCTTGTTTCTTTTGCTGTTCTTGTATTACTGCCATCAAATCTGCTAAGCTGTAGTTTGATTTGCCGCCTCTCGTTTACATATTCTTTTTTTTACTTTCTGTCCCACTCTCTGACACCAATTTGTTACGTCTCTGGTCGTTAGTTAATTTCCCATATAATTTCTTTCCGATGAAACTTTAGGGACACAAGTCCTTCCTTAAATAAAACTGATTTATTCTTTCTGAATACAACTTTGCAATACACTAAATTTCCACAGTCATGCTATAACAAACGCTATAATTCACAACGAACGACTCACGTGCTCGACTCAATCATCAGTTTCTTTCTCTGTCTGCAGTTCAATTACCTTGTTGCCGTCAGTTCTTGGCGGTCTTATATGCAAGAATACCGTACATCTAGTAACCACTCGAGGCTTCAAGAAGGGACATGAATTTTCTAGAAGCACATGACGTGTTACTAGCATCACGTGACCTCTGCTGTGGTAACAATACGTTTCATTCTTTTTAAAAATTATTTATAAGGTATAATTAAAATATAACTTTCAAGAAAAATGAGTTTCACTCTTACACATATTCTGATATACATAATTTTATATAATACTGTTTCATCAACTAAAATATGTAGTACATGATTCTTGTATGAAAAGTTTAGTATCTCTTGTAACAGTAAGTGTAAAAGACTGGTATTAATAGGTGTACATTTTGTAATTGATGTCAAATACATGGTAGAGCAAAATTGTAAGAGCAATTAAGAATTTTTTTATAAAACAAATATTTTCCATTTACACAATTACTAGTATTAGTTTATTTAAATAAATCTTAGCCTATTAACAAATGCAGGATTACTTCTTTATTAGACACACAAAACTTGCTGAATGATCTGTTTGTTAAACAGATATGGATGTGAAGGGTTACACTTAGCTTAGACTGGTTGTTTAATTGGATGAACTTGGATCGCCTTGTTTTTTGTTGTGTTCATACTCAAGCTAAAATGCATCAGCTTGAATGTTTCTTGCCCTAGGCTTACATATAGGTGGCTCTTTGTACTTTTGCAGTTAGTTACATGATGTATTTATAGACTCAAGATTTGTAACAAAATTTATAAAATGTGTGTGTGTGTGTATGGAATAGGGAAGTACTTTTTAGTTACTTAAATATAGTCAGCTATGAAGTTCAGATTTCTTAAGTTAAATTAATGTGACTTGCACTAGATTTGTTTCATCTTCACATAAAAAATCCTATTAAAACTGAACATTGAATTTTTCTTACAGCCTGTATGCTTTTTTCTTATAGTTATAGCTTTCAATTGCTCTAATTTCACATCATTACACAATTGCAAATATTACTGAGTATCTAATAGTGAAATTGAAACAAAAACATAACATACTTGTAAAAGATGAACATGGAAATACACCAATCACCAGCCTCAGAATATTAAGGTAAATCAATCATTCATAAAGCCAAAATATAAAGATAACCCACACCACTCACACAAAAAATAGCTATAAAAACGTTTACATTTGAAAACATGCAATGAACAAAACAAACTTACCAAACAAAATCTAAACCATAATAACTCATTAAACAAATTATGTACACAAGATTTACATGAGAACTCAACCTAAAATTTATCTTAAAAAAAACTGATTACCAAATCAAAGCATAACTTTTGAAGAATAAATTTTGGGTCATCTTGTTTTTTGTTGTGTTCATACTCAAGCTAAAATGCATCAGCTAGAATGTTTCTTGCCCTGGGCTTACATATAGGTGGGTGTTTTTACTTTTGCAGTTAGTTACATGATGTATTTATAGACTCAACATGTGTAACAAAATTTATAAAATGTGTGTGTGTGTGTATGGATATGGACATGCAATGAACAAAACAAACTTACCATTTACACAAAATCTAAACCATAATAACTCATTAAACAAATTATGTACACAAGATTTACCTGAGAACTCAACCTAAAATTTATCTTAAAAAAAACTGTGAACAAAACAGAAAAACACGTAGGTTCAAGAAGTCTTTGATAGAAATAAATAAAAACCCTATAACCCGAGCACTTTCGAAAGGTGGACCTTTCTTCTTCCCAGTTTGCCCCTGAAGAAGAAAGGTCCACCTTTTGAAAACACTGGAGTTATAGGGTTTTTATTAATTTACATCATTACCATAATGCTTGATGTTGCATTACTATTACACTGGGTAAAACAACATAATATTACAACAAGGTGAACTGCTATATTACCACAGAGATACTTATAAACTGTTACAGATTTATTTGCTTCACTGTCTGGAGGACATTTCTTTCAAAGTACTGATTTGATTTTTAATTGTCATTCATTATGAATTACAATAATTTTGATTATTTATAAAACAATTAACCAAATAACTTGTTATTTCCCACTTTTTGATATTCTAATTAAACACTATACTTGCTGTGACTATCTCTGAGAAAGTGTTGTTCAAGTATGAAGTCAATGTTTATATTTGTAGATTTATAGATAAAATTGTGTATATATCTGCAATCTTTACAATTTCAAGTTGACAACCCGAAGAGGATAACTTCAATTACCATTTCAAAGTTATAATACATATTAGTATTTGTTCCAGTGTTCCAAAACTACCTACTGTATCAGCATTAAGCCTTATTTACAATTTGTTCAAATAATTTTTGAAAGAAAGTTTTAGATAAACTGTTTTCTGCCATTATTATTATTATTTGAGATTGGTTCCTTAGAATCAGTCTATATACTTATTCCATTAACTTTTTGTTGTTGTTATTGTTGAAGTAATTAGCAAAAACAAAGACAAGAAATTCAAAAATTTACCAACTGGTCATTTTTTAAGTACTAGCCCAGTGTCATTAGTATGTAAAAGGATAAATGCAAATTTCATAGAATATTTGCTTAGTGAAACACTATATTTTAATCTCAAAAAGTGTTTTTAAATAAAAGAAAGCAAATGCTCAAACTTGCAGATATTTTTCAATAGATTTAAGTTTTGTTGAGAAGTAATGTAAAATTATCACAACTGCAGAGTGTATAAATATATTTGTATAACCAAAATAATGTAAATCATTGTTCTGAGTATAACACCATTATTATTTTTCAAATTCGTTGTTTTCAAGTTGGTTGAAGTCATCTTTCTCAATTATAAAGGTAACACTGATCCTCTACAGTCAGTATTTTTGTTCCAGAAATCTTCCAAATGATAATATGTCTTTGGAGACTTATTAAAGTTTAAAGCTTCACAAATATGACAAATGTGCAGTGATGGGGATCCAAAATATCCATGTTCATTTAAAACTTTATAATTTTTTTTCCATTCAAAATACTTGTTGTAAGCAGTATTGTTTTCATCTAAGAATTTGATATAATTTGCTAATTCTTGAGGTGAATCAAAGTCTTCCACATGTATGTATGATCCTGGAGGACAAAGCCTTTTGTAGTCTTCTTTATCTCCACCCATGACTACTGGAACAGATTCTTTGTGAAACCCATTCCACCACATTTTCTCTGTAATATACTCCTTGCAATTAGAATTTTCAAAAGCTAAGTAGAACTTGTATTCCTTCAGAATAGGACAATCTGTAGTGAAATGACCTGGACATTTTAACTTCCCACAGTGTCCATAAATATCCACTTTAAGGTATTTTTCAAGACTGTGGATATACTGCCATCTTTTATTTATCCCACCGCAATTACTTCCCAAAACTGCAACTAAACGGGATTTTAATTTTGCATAATCTGGTAAAGAATTAATTTTAGCTTTTTCTGCTTTGTTTAAAGGGACAGTACGGCCATATGGAACTGGTACATCCGAGTCGCTTCGATACGTCATGCTCCAGTTGAAATATCCATTGTAGTCTTTCATAGTGAACTTTTTAGTGACCAGAAATGTATGAAGTGGGGATTCATCAGTGAAGAAAATCCATCTCTGGTGTGGTAATCTATAAGGTGGGAGTGTGTCGGGGCCTTGTGTACGATGAAGATGAAACACAACTGCATCACTCACATTCAAGCCATTCATATCATCAATTTGAACTCTGCAGTTCCTCACAGAACAAAATTCAAAAGGATCATGTTCAACTTTTCCATAAGATCTGAGAAATCTTCTGAGCATACGCTTTCCATGTTCCCAAAACAAAATTGTATAGTTTTTTGTGTAACTCACATCATTATCACTATCATTGCTGTTTAAAACCTTATTAAAGTACTTTAGTGGTGAACCATAATCTTGTTGACTATTATTCAGATTCTGCATGAAATGGAAGTACTGTCGTGAAAACACACTTTTATTTTGACTATACTCCATTAAGTGGTAGATGATCAAGCTGACACCTGCAGAAATCAGCAGTACCATGAAAACACAGTTCCACATTCTACTTAAAGTGGTAGGGCACAATCTATTAGGCATGATTCAGTTTCTTGTTTGTTTGTTTTTGCATAGAAGAATCTAACAGTTATTTTATTTCTATTTTTCTAGGCTCACAGTGAACTCTATACCATGGCAGAATATATTTTCTGAAATACAAGAGAAATATATACATGTACAATAAACAAATTTTTACATAATCACACAGTTTGCCATAAAACAATCTAACCTATCATTTGCAAAATCACTCAAATGGAAGTTTACCCTATCTTATAAGGACAATTAATGGCTACAATCTTTAAAATGGCCTAAGTTATATGTTAATTCCCTAAAATGTATCAAGTTTCTTAAACAGGTATATATAGTGTTCTACCTAAGATAGCAAAAGCATCTATTTTGATATTCAATTTATTTAGGCTATAATTAGATATTTTTCTGAATAAAAAAATAAATAGATGTACACTTAAAAAAACACAGTTATTACAGTTGAAACAACTGTTAATTTCACCCTTTCATAATTATTGGAAAACTTATTTCTTATTCAGGTCTATTTCATTGAACTTTTCTAAATTTTTATGCATGTGTTGTAGATATGGTTAGTAACATTCTTGTAAATTGTATGTGGATAGGTCCTAAACTTGTACTGATCTTCTACCTTAAATAAAGTTTAAATATCACAGAATTTGTTTTATACTTCCTTGACTCTGTTTTGGTGCCATGCTCTTCTTGAATGAGATTAGACTCATGCAAAATAGAATATAAAGTAATGGTGAAATATTCACCAAATTAAAATAATTTTATTGATAAAACACTTTTTCTCTCTAACCTGTTCTCAATATTCACCCACTTTTGTTACCTTTATATTCATTTCCTTTCACAATTGTTCTTCACCCCTATTAAGTTCACATATCTTATATTGTTGTATCCCTTTAAACAATATTACCCAATGCAAGTGTTCATTCATTTCCTTACATTGTTGCCTGTATTCATGTTCTACTTTTTTCTTTTTTTGATTTACTACAATTTATACAGAATTATTTTATTATTATTTTTATTTATTTATGTTACTTCCCTTAGCTCCTTTGTAGATTAATAACTTGTTCTCAAGTATTCAAACCACGTGTTACTTGTTCTTTCAACCTTACCCTTCTATTAACAGTTTTATTCTTACTTGAAACTTGATGAAGGGCTGTTGCCTGAAATGTTATTTTCGTGTTTTATCGATAAAATTATTTTAATTTGGCAAGTTTTTCACCATTACTTTATATTCTATTTTGCATTTTATTTCCTCACCTAAGCAATTATTTTATTATTGAGGGTGGTACAGAATCTTGTACAAGTTGAGTTTTATCTCCCTTGAAAATATATAATTAGAATGATGTGAATAAACTACAATTATAGGATACTGTATTAGGAATTTGTCCCATTTGGAATTGTGTTATCTCAATAATTCTTGCTTTAGTCTTACACAGATAAGTTTTTTCCAGCTATAGTAGCCAGAGTCGTAATAATAAAGCTTGCCACTACTGGTAAAATTTCAAGCATACTTATATTCGTGAATAAAGGTAATTATCTATTCATTATTTTGTGTTTTTCTTTAGATTTCCATGATTCTTTTGTTCTTTATATAACATTTCCAGAACTTGGTGTATTGTGGGTATTTACGACTACCTATTAAAAATCAGTGTACTCAAATACCACATAGTTCTTCTGTGAACTTTTAGATATCACACACCCACGCACACAGTAACAGTCACAAGTCTGAATTACTTACGGGTCCAGAAATTTTCAAGGTCAAACAGAAACTGATTTGCAAGCCTAAACACAGGCTGAGCCAAAAACATTTTATATATATATATATATATATGAATAAAAAATACTACAAAGACAGAATAGAAAGGAAACTTTATTCTATGCACAGATTTTTGAATGAAAATAAAATTTTGCAGATTTTTTTCTGTATTTTAAATAAAATTACTTGTCAAAAATTAACTATGTTAAGTTACAATTCTTCATTTGCTTCATTCAGATGCAAACTCTTTCTTTTTCCTCTTACATTTAACATACTGTATCAATACTTCCATGCTTGTGTATGCTGTCTGACTTGCACATTAAATCTTTATAATAATTTTTTGGCTTAGCTGATGGCTGGCTTGACTAGTTAAGTATCTGCAATTCGAGCCAGAGTCATGCATTTGACTCAAGCCCATGTTAACTTCATCTCTAATCTGAACCCAGTAAAAAGGGGGCAGGGAGCAATGTAGATATAAAAAACTGCAAGAATAGAAACCAACACTGGCAAAACAATTGTGACTACATTATATCTATAAATTTTTGTTTGTAAATAATTATAATAAAAACAATTACTTCACAAATAGTATTATACCATAATTACATATACATTACTTGGCACAAGTAATTATGGAGTTAGTGGGCTTTATCTGGTGACAAACCTTTATATAATGATTCATTTTTTACAACAATTTCCCATCATCAACATTGCTGTTTCAATAGTTAACTGCAGTGAAAAATCAGTAAAGTGTCAAAATTATTCCAAAAATTTGCACAATTTAACATGGCTGAAACTGAGAAAAGTAAAACAAAACTACATTTAAGAAGCAAAAAGTGCAAATATTTAATGATAATGACATGGCCAAAATTACTACCTGGGACTCTTTCCCTATTATAGGCAGGATTTTGAATTTGAGTACGAGTGTAAAGGAAGGGTTCTGATCACCACAAACACAGTTTGCAACTGGAATATAATTTGACAAGTATACAAGTACAATGCTGACAACTTGAGTGTCATTAAAGTGGCTAATTAACTTGTGCTCATGAACCAAACCCAGGACGTAAGAGTATTATTGAACATGTTATCCTGCTTATTCTGTATACAAAGCTCATAGTACAAAAAATGAATTTTTGAGTATTATTTTAAAAGGTTAGAAACTAAAGCTTTCTAAACTTTGCTTGTCTACAATTAAATACACTTAGCAACAGGATATAATTCAGTATAGTGTTGCTCTACTCCTGCTGGATAACATGTTGGTTGTCTACATCAATGTAGAGAGTAATAGTGAAAAAAATAAAATATTAATAGAATAATTTATCCTAGACACTCCTACCTTTAGAACTTACATAATTACTGGCTCTTCTGTTCTAACCAGACATAAAAAAATAATCTGCATCATTCTCTTAGAAATTTTAATAAACGGAGAATGGTATGGTTCAAACACCAGTCAAGGTACCTTAATTTTTACCTAATACAATACTAAATAAGAATATTATAACGTCAATATGCTGGTAGAGAGAGTAGAACTTGGCTAATACAGTAATAACTGGTTTTAAAAAACTTGAACTGTGAAGAAAGACCAATTTTCCTTTCTTCTGAAGCTCTGAGCTACAAGTAGCTTTCTACAAATATTTAGAATTGTTAAGGTTTTCAATAATGTGCTTATGGGTTGTTTTTTTTAGAGGTGATATGAAAATATAGAAAATACAAATTTTAATATTTAGAAATATTAAGTTTACACTTTAGAAGATTTATTCCATCATTCAGAATTATATGTCAAGATAGATTTTTTTGGTTTTGTTGGTGGAGGGGTGACTTTGATTTCATGAATGACCTTCTACCACAATGATATTTCCTATTAACACAGATAAATAAAACTTTCCACACAGTCAGAAAAAAAAAAATATATATTTAGAGTATGGAACAGCAAATCTAAGAATGGACAATTTGATAAAAAAAAAATTTAGCTAATCCAATCCTCACCTTCATTTTGCAATCACCAAATCAGGCCAACTAAAGCTTGAATACTAAAGTGAATGATAGAACATCACGGAGTCATCTGTTCTCATAATGTCCTACAGTTCATAAGATATGCTTAAATAAATTTACATTCACATAAGCCTACTTGATGAACAAAATTTTAAAATAAATTTATACTAACAACATGTATCACAAGTCTAAAATTTGGGCTCAAGATCTGCTTTTAACATATTTTATCAGTTTCCCGATACAGAGCCTGAACTCCAGATCTCTTGTATCATAATTTTTTGCAAACTGAAGAAAATGTGAAACTGCTTACATATGGAAAATGTAAATTTTTATAACTACACAAGTTATTTTATGAAATCAATTCCTAATAATAACTTCTTTTAGACATGCAATTAGATACAAGTTTATCTTTGTTCATCAAATTCAATCTACATCAAATATCATTTGCGTAATTATGGCGCTATTTCAAAACTAATGACATTGACACTGAACTTTCTACGTACCTATTTAAAACTGCATTTTACTTTTCAAAGTACCGTAAAACTTCTCTCAACACAAAAGCTCATATTCATAGCAATCAAATCAAGAAATCGTCCTTTGGAGTTGTAAGTTAAATTTACTAAGTTTTAAACTTTGAATTTTAATATATATACATATTTTCTCACTTATATCACGCAACAAACTTATAACTGGGAAACTACACAATTCTTCATGTTAACTGCATTTTTTACTACTACTACTGTCTTACAATTAACAGCAATCGGAATGAACCCATATTTTAAAACTCGACTAAAGAAGGCACTTATCAAACTCGAACAGTCGAAATTTAAACCAGGAATTACAATAGGCCTAACATTAATAATTTCTTTAAGTTTGGGCTAGGACTAATAATAAGGCTTATACATTAAAATACCAAACGAATAGTAATAGTTTAGCTCAACTGTTTATCAATCTAACTTAATTTGAAAATAGTGACTGAAATTATCAAATTAGACAGTACGTTAACATTTTTCATTCGATTTGAATATTTAATATCCAGGCTTTACAGTTTCAACTGTCATCAAGACAAATATTCTTACCTCACTGAACACTCCTATCATTTCAAATTCTTAATAGTTGTTTGAGGCGGAAGAAAATAATTTAAAAAACAAAATCTGAAATTATATTTTAATGTGCTTTAGTTTAAAATTTGTTGTGAACAAAGAAATAGGTGGATAAAAAACACACACATGATTACTAGTTTCAGGTGTCGTTTAACTAGATATTTTAAAAGTCTTTATGAATGTTCAAGTTACTTCAATACAAACGAATATTTTGATTCTTTATGTTCTTTGAATATTTATGTTCTTTAACATAACATAAAGTTTAAGAACAACAAGTGACCTGTTATTGGTCCATCTACGCTGTCCCACCCACACTGTCCTGTCACACCACAGAGCTTCTGTACAGCTTCTGGAACTCCTTTGTGATCCAGCACCTTGATACTCACAAGGGTTTGCTGAGATGTAGAATCTATGACAAAGTTGCACCTTTGGCCATCCAGCTTCCCTGTCACGTAGACACTATGTGTGCTTGCCATTTTACACTTAGCTGTCGGGACTTTCACGATAGGGGTTGGTGGGCGTCCCTCAGTACCACCCACTACTTGGTTC